CTAGTGATAGCCATTGTTACAGATTCCATTTGTATATCCCTCTAGTCTTTTTTTCTTTGTAAGCTTTGAGCTTTGGACTTGTGCTATCTTAAATAATCTGGATTGTTCCAATTACATTATGATGAAGTGTGGTGAGAATTCAGTCCCTCACCAATAACACTGAAACTTAAGTTAGTTCAAGTGGTTCTTTTCTCCTCATTGTATCTCATTTGATCTCAGAACTCTTCAAGCTGGTATTTCCAAATGTGTGTGTACGTCTTAAACAAAATATCAATGCAGATGATTAAATAAAATCCCCTTTTGAACATTCAAAGAAATAAACACATTCTGCAACAAGAAACTTGCTATACCAGTCAACCAGAAGAGAAATTTAGGACTAAGTGTGATGGTGTACACCTGTAATCCCAGCAACTTGGGGGGTAGAGCCAGGAGGCTACCGGTCTGAGGCCAGCCAGGCAAAAGCTCAAGACCCTATCTGAAAAACACACTAAAAGCAAAAGGGCTGATGGTGTAGTTCAAGTGGTACTGCACTTGCCTAGCAAGCATGAGTCACTGAATTCAATTCCCAGTACCACAAAAAAAGAAAGAAAGAAAGAAAGAAAGAAATTGAAGTATCCATTGTTTGAAAGTGCATTTTTAAGATAATTTTTTTTTTGGCAATATTGGTTTAAACTCAAGGCCTCACACTTGCTAGGCAGATTAAGATAATTCTTTTTTTTTTCCTTAAAAATACCTATTTCCATCATTCTATTAGCCACAATTATGCTTCGTTACATTTTTTTGACTCAGCTAGCCACATCATGAAAATATTTTTCCCAACATTTTGATGCTGAGGATTTGGCAATACAACTTCCTTTGACCATGCAGTTGGTTGTTTTGAGAGAATATGTTGTCATCAGATCTCTACAGGAAAGGGATCATGAATGGAGAGCAGCGAAAGCTCAGATCCTTATTAAAATGGGAGGAGAGAGGGTTTACCTGGTGATTATCATATGCATAATGGGGCATTTCAAGACTTATATGGCACTGCCCTTAGGTTTTATTTTGTTTTGTTTAAATCACTTGGTCAGTTAACATGGAGTCTAGTATACTTGAATATACTACTAAAGATACAAATTATTAGAAAGTTCATGTGATTCCAGTCTTTTTCCCCTTTTAATATACTTGACTAAGCTTTAGAATAAACTTAGGTTCACAGCAAAATTAAGCAGAAATGAAGAGAGTTCCCACACACCCTCCTGTCCTGAGACATAACCTCCCTCCCTGTGGCCTGCGCCAGAGTTCTACATTTGTTACAGTTGGTGAACCTACGCTGATCTGTCATTGTCACCCAAGGTCCCCAGTTCTGGGTTTACTTTTGGTGGTGTGCACTCTTAAGGATTTTGTCAAATGGGTGTTGATGAGTTTCCACCATTATAGTATCAAACAGAAGTCTCTCCACCCTAAAAACCTCTGAGCTCTTTTCATTCCTCCCATCCTGTAGCCCCTGAACCACTAGTCTTTTTTATGTCTCTATACTTTTGCCTTTCAGAGAATCATATAGTATGTAGACTTTTCAGATTGGTTTTTTAAGTTTAGTAATATGAAGTTAAGTTTCCTCCACATATTTTCATGTCTCAGTAGCTTCTTTTTGGCCTGAATAATATTCCATTGTCTGAATACATCATAGTTTATCCATTCACCTACTAAAGATGACATTTTTGCTTCCAAATTTTGAATAAAGCTACTTTAAGCATTCACGTGTAGGTTTTCAGTACATTTAGGTAAATACCAAGGAGTGAATACAGCTGTGTTATGGGACAGTAAGAGTATGTTTAGTTTTCTTTTAAAAAAAAAAGTGCCAAGCTGTACCATTTTTGTATTCCCATCAGTGGTGAATGAGAGTTCCTTTTGCTCCATGCCCTCATCAGCATTCATTGTTGTCAGGATTTTCCATTTTGATCATTCTAATAGGTGTGTAGCAGTATTTCATTACTGTTTTAATTTGAAGTTCCCTGATGATATGGGATGTTAACATCTTTTTATGTGATTATTTGCCATCTGTATATCTGCTTGAGTAATGTGTCTGTTCAGGTTTTTGCCTGTTTTTAATTGGGTTGTTTATTTTCCTATTGTTGAATTTTTAAGAGTTCTTAACCTATTACAGGTAACAGCCCATTATCAGATGTGTCTTTTGCAATTTTTGTTTTTCTGCAAGTATGTGGCTTATGTTCTTATTTCTTGTGTCCTGCATGAGCTTGTCCTATAAACCTTAATTGGGGGTGACAGAAGATGCAGAAAAAAGACAACAGAAGACCAAACATTCATAAAGCTGGGGCCAGGTGGGCTGAGCACTCAGATGGAGACACACCAACCCCCTCCACCTCCAGTTTGTTTATTATATATAGTAGCAACAGGAGGTGGAGAGGCATTTCTCAGGGGAGGGGACGTGACATTGTGATCCTCAAGAACAGGAGGAACCTGTGACAACTTCTCTCTGAACATAAACATTAAAGGAAAAAACAGCTGTACTGCATCCTGCCCACTTCTGCAGCTGAGGCTGTGCCAACTCAAGCGTGTAATTTATTGGGCATAATTATACTTGCTCCCTTTTGCGGTGTGGGGCTGTGCCAAACTCAAGCCTGCAGCTTATTCAATACACCTGTCCGCTCTCCACATCTCCCCCTTTTTTAATTTCTTAAATGTTCTCAATGAAGCCTGTCCCCTTTAATCCAAGGAGTTGTCTCCACATCATGCAGCAGAAAACAGGTGAACACCAGAAGGAGTGCTTTAGCATGTTAGATGGATTGAAACCCTTGAACTCGTCCAGGATGAACAGTAGCTGGAGAAACAACGTTATCATAAGCCTTTTGGTGGCCAATACTTGTTGTCTTAATAGCCGTAAGTCCACAGTATTGTTTGCTTCGTTCTCATGCTCCATAAGACGGGTTTTACCTGTAAAGCTGTAGCCACTATATTGAGGCACCAAATGTCCTGAAGAATGACCTCCATGTGCACCGTACCATCAGTGAAGGTAGATACAAGGTGGCTCTACCAAGTGATAGGATGCACCACTGGCGGGTTGGGCATGAAAGTCCAGTATGCATCACCTTGGACAACATCCACCTGTATTGTAATTATGACCAATGCCGCCAGCAGTGTGGCTGAGGGATTCCCAGCCATCCCCAGACTACTGGTCACCATCATCGCCGTGTCCATTAGTTTTTCAATTTGACCCCAGGTGGGTGACTCACTGTCCCGCGTCTGCCTCACCAGTGCCATTTCCTTGGCTGCCCTCTGGTTGGTGAAAGAGTCAGCCTTAGCAGTTCCCTGTCCCAGGGCAAGTCTTCCAGTCTCATCTTCCTCATCTTCAGGACCAGGGGATCCATGAGGCTTGACAAACTGCAATGGTACCTACACTGGGTGTTCTGCATCTTCAGGAAAAACACAAACATGCCCTCGACCCCACATAGCCTGCAGTGAGCAATGACATGCTTAGTGGCCTCACCAGCATGTGCAGAGGCATAGATATAAATTGCCTATGCAAGGCTGAAGCATTTTGATGGTACACAGCATGACTTAGTCGGGCAGCTTCTACGGATGCAGGAGTTTGTGTGGGCAAACCCAAAGCAAGCCCAGAGACTAGGTTATCTGCCCAGGCATTACTGTCAGTGAGTAGGTTGGGGAGGTTAAAATGTGGGCACAAATGGCTCACAAAACAGGGATAAAGGCGGGTTAGCACCAGCAATTGCCAGAGTGCTCTTGTGGCTCTGGGGCGACAGGAGATGCCAAAAAGGACAACAGACAGAAGGCCAAACATTCATAAAGCTGGGCCAGGTGGGCTGGGCACTCAGATGGAGACACACTAATCTCCTCCACCTCCAGTGAGTTTATTATACACACTGGCAACACGAGGTGGAGAGGCATTTCTCAGGGGAGGGGACGTGACATTGTGATCCTTAGGAACAGAAGGAACCTGTGACAACTTCTCTCTAAACATAAACATTAAAGGAAAAAAACAGCTGTACTGCATCCTGCCCACTTCTGCAGCTGAGGCTGTGCCAACTCAAGCATGCAATTTATTGGGCATAATTATGCTTGCTCCCTTTTGTGGTTTGGGGCTGTGCCAAACTCAAACCCACAGCTTATTTAATACACCTGTCCACTCTCCACACTTATTCTCTTAACATTGTCTTTTACAGAGAGAAGTTTTTACATTTTAAAGATGTCCAGCTTTTCAATTATTTCTTTGATGGATGATGATTTTAGTGTTATATCTAAAAAGTCATATCCATACCCAAAGTCATCTAGATTTTCTGCTGTGTTATCTTCTGGCTTTTTGTAATTTTGCATTTTACATTTACACCTGTAATACATTTTGAGTTAATTTTTGAGAAGAGCGTAAGGTCTGCATCTAGGTTGCTGTTTTTGTTTTTTTGGGGGTTTTTTGTTTTTGTTTTTGCATGTGGATGTCCAGTTATTCCAGTACCCTTTGTTGAAAAGACTAACTTTGCTCCATGTATTGTCCTTGTTCCTTTCAGAGATCAATTGATTATATTTAGAAGGTCTGTTTCTGGGCTCTCTATTCTTGTTCCATGGGTCTATTTGTATTTTCTTTTGCCAGTATTCCACTATCTTGACTACCGTAGCTCTAGAGTAAGTCTTGAAATCAGATATGTTGGTGTTCCAACATTGTTCTTCAGTGTTTAGTTGGCTGCTCAGGAACTTTAGAATCCATTTGTCAGTATCCACAAAACAACTTGCTGGAATATTGATTGGGATTGCAAGCTAAGGCTAAGTTGGGAAGAACTGACATGACAGTATTGAGTCTTCTTGTCCACAAACATGGGATGTCTCCCCATTGATTTAGTTCTTTGATTTGTTTTACCAGAGTTCTATACTTTTCTTCATATTGGTTGTATACATATTTTATTGGATTAATAATGATTTCATTATAATGGTAATGATATTAGCATTTGCTAATGTGTTTTTAATTTCTAATTCCTTTTGTTCACTTGTAGTATCTGCTTAATTGTTAGGCAATTAATGGATGTCTGGAAATTGATGTACGAATATATTCAGAAATGTTTTGCCTCCTGAGACCTTTGAGGAGGTAAGTTTTGTGGTCCAATCTATATTTAGTATGGGGGGGGCATCAGTTATGCATTTGGTTAATTTCAATTGTTATTTTTCAAACTTTAAAGCTTTTTATATTGCAGTGGAAGGCAGGAATTTTTAAAAGAAGAAAAAAATTCATGTGAGCAGTCATGTCTTGAAAGAGTCCATTCAGAGCTGGAGATTTTTTTTTAAAAGGATACTGTGTTTCAGAAAAGTTCTGTGTGAAATGCTTAAAAAGAAAAAAGATTAAGTTTTTCTTTAGCGCAGTCTCTTTATGGTATGATATTCCAAATATGCACAACACATGGTTTCTTTTTTTTTAGTTTAGAAGGGGGAATGACTATTTGTAGTGAGAATGCAGATCTCTCCTAGCACATAGGTGTGCAGAAATCATTCAATGAGTGGACACCATGTATAAAAGTGATGGTGGGAGGCGTGGAGGTATATTAGGCCTAGGACTCATGAAGAAGAAAGGGGAAGACTAAGGTAGATCACTGGGGACTTAATTGAGGGTTTCCGTAAGGAGCAATTAAGATAAGTTGGAAAGGCAGACTGAGAAATAATTGTGGCTAAGGAGTGGGTCTCTTCCTGCAGGAATTGTGGAAGCCCTCAAAGGTATTTATATAAAGAAGACAATGACAGTAGCCTTTAGGAAAGTTAACCTATTCATGGTTTGCAGTGTAGTTGGGAAAAATAGATAAGAGCCTGTGCAGTGCAGTTTGGGTGATGACACTGGCAGCTAGTAAGTGGAAACCAGGAGGATTTCTAGGACAATGGAATTTCCACAATGGGTGGGGATAACGAGCACATTCAGATTTTGCAACACTTGAGAAAGGGGTGCCGCAATACCAGAAATCAGGAAGCGAACCCTGGATTGAGGTCTCTGACCACCTCCTTGCCTCCAGTAGCCAGGCTGAGTGTAAAAGGCAAATGATGGCCTGTACTTCTTTTGTACGTATGTAAAATTTGAGAGGCTGGCAGGAGACTTTTGGAAATGAGAAGTGGAGCTCAGAGGAGGAATAAGCAGAGTTGTCCCTGTCATTTCTTTGGACTAGCTCATCTTGAAGACTTGAAGCCCCGATCATTGTTTCCTTATTTTATTGTTCAGATTCCTGCTGTAATCCTTAATGTCCACCTATACATTGATTTGATTTTAGAAGAGGTTCCAATGCATGCAGAAAACAAAACAAAAGGTAATCTGAAAATATGTTAGTAGCCTCCAGATTGTTAGAGAATCTCCAAAAATAGGCAGGCATGATGGCCCAAACTTGTAATCACAACACTGGGCAGGCTGAGGTAGGAGAATCCCAAGTTCAATGCCAGCCTTGTCTACATAATGAGACCATGTCTCAAAAAAAAAAAAAAGGCTGTCCAGAAATTATCCTGATTCTGTAATCGCTACCATCTTAAAAAATGTAAAACCTTTCAGAGACTCAGCATACCTAATGCATTATAAAAGTATACACCAAGTTTGGAGAGTTCTTTTTAGAACATTTAGAAAGGAAAAGGCAAAATACAACAATCAAAAATAGATGACATGGAAATGCTTCCCAAGAATTGCAAGTAATTTCATTTGGACTTAAAAAAAACTTTTGTTTTCTTTGGAAAAATAACTGTATTTTCAAAAACATTCCAGGGGGCTTGGGTCAAAATTCAAAAATGAGAATGTCAAGTTATCCAACTTGAATAATGTTACCATTCTAGAAATGAGGAAATCAACTCATGAGACATCTTTTCTTCAAGATATTTTCCACTACAAGTCAGGCGTGCCGGTACACATCTATAATCCCGGCACTAGAGAGGCTCAGGTAGGAGGACTAGAGTTCAAGGACAATCTGGGCTACACAGTAAGACCCCGCCATCCCCAAAAAAACAAGATACTTTCCACTACAAAGAAAAAAATTACACTGTTGGATATTGAGAAAAACAACAGAACAGGATTTTCTTTTCAAGAAGAAAATTGTTATCATTTGCAGAGAAACCAGTTAACATTTCAAAGTAAATTATGAAGGGGAAATTTTACTATTATATAATTCTCATATTGGATCAGAGGAATTTATAGCCATTGTTTAAGAAACTTGACAGATTTCAGAAGACTACAAAGCTTGTCTCTTGTTTCTATGGTATTTTACCTTAACTGTCACTTCCTGCATGAGAGATATATGTGTGTGCACAGAGAATAATCAGGCCATGTCTTCGAAGGTTCTATCTGGAGAAGATTCTGCCACACTGGTTTCACTATTCACGAGCTTTGTCGGGAGCAGAAGCAGTCAATGCATTGAGGCCTTTCTATTTTGCAGTCCATCCAGATTTCTTCGGAAAGCACCCCAGAGAAAGGGTAAACATTTTTTTAACCTTTGTCTACATTTCCATTTAGTTTGTTTCCCTTTATACAATATAATACAGAGAGTTCTATGAATCTGGGTTATTCTGTCATGGAGCTACTTTGAAATTTAGAAAATACCAGCAGGGCACAGTGGCTTATACCTCTCATTCCAGCTACTGGAAGGCATAAGTAGGAGGATCATGATCTAAGGGTAGCCTTGAGCAAAAAACCTTAAGACTCTCTTGGAAAAATAACTAAAGCAAAAAGGGCTGGGGGAATGGCTCAAGTGGTATAGCACCTGCCTAGCAAGCAGTTCAAACCCCAGAACCACCAAAAAAACCACTTCAATGTTCTCTAAATGACTTACTCAGCATGCTTAACCCTATGTCTTTCAAAGAAAGACCTGGCTTCTGTGCTGGCCTTTGACTCCTCCTGGGAGATGAACTTTGAGCCTTTGGAATATACTACCTTCTAGGAATGAACCATTAGGGCTGGAGGTGTAGCTCAGTGGTAGAGCACTAGCCTAGCATGCAAAAGGCCCTGGGTTTCATCCTCAGCAGCCCCCCTCACACTTATACAAAAAAGGGCATTTAAAGAAAAGAACTATAAGAGTAAGAACTGTCAGTCAGCCCAGATAGTTTATACTAACAATATGATTTATAGTGATTATCTATTTTCCTACCAGTTTGACCTCTGGGTTGGTTAGACTAAATGGCTAAAGTGAGTCACATGGGTGTTACATACCAACATGACTGACTGCCAGTGGAAGCCTGGCATCCCTTATTGGCAGCACTTCTCATATATTCCAAGCATCACTGCTGGGGGATTAAACACTGTCTGTAAATCCCTACATGAAATGACAGCTGGGAGCTTGCCCTTGGCCTCTCCTGGACTCTGTTCTTTGTCCCTGTCCTCTCTTGCTAATTTTAATCTGCTATAATAAACCATGGCTGTAAGTATAACAGCTTTTCTGAATTCTGTGACTCCTTCCAGCAAGTCATTGAACCTGGGTGTGGTATTTGGGGACGGCTAACACAATGTGTCTAGAGTTTAGTTGTTCTGGTAATTTTGTATTTTTATGCTCTTTCATCTTGTGGATTTTTTTCTATGTGGGGGTTTTTGTGGCAGTGTGGAACTGGGTTTTAAACTCAGGGCTTTGTACTTACAAAGCAGGTGCTCTGCTGCACAAGCCACATCTCCAGTCCATTTTCCTCTGATTATTTTGGAGTTGGGGGTCTCACATACTATTTGCCTATGCTGACCTCAAACCAAGATCCTCCTGATCTCAGCCTCCCAAAAAACTAAGATTATAAGAGTGAGCCACTAGTGCCTGGCAGCTTGTGTGTTTTGAACGCCGCTTTGTGCCAAGCCTTCACTCTAGCAGCTCCCTCAGCTTGGAGCGTCCTCTCCTCAATGAAGCTCATCACCTACCTCCTTTCCCTCTCCTCCTCACCCTGCAGTGCTTTTTCTTTGTTTTCTTCTTCCCGTGTGCCCCATTTCCCTATTTTTTAGGTTTGTTGTTCATCTTCCTCCCTTCACTAAAATGCAGACTCTGTAAAAGCAGTTCACTGCTGGCCATTGCACAACCAATACATCTACTCTTTCTAAGGTAAACAGACTCAAAGTCCCATCAGGCTCCAAGTCTGGGATCTCACACTGACACTCACTTGTTTTTCTGGGGTTTTTTAAATCCACTTTAATTTAATTTTAAAATATGCAAAGCATTATAGGTTTCAAAACTCAAAACTAAGTACAAAGTTTACTAAGAAGCCTTATTCCTTTTTCCCCATTCCTAGTCACTTCCTACAGATAATCATTCATTTATCCTTCCTTTGTTTCTTTTTGACAAAAAATAAAAACATGTATCAAAAATAATTATGAAATAGTCTTACACTAGCAGAAAATGTCCCTAACTTGCTTTAGGAGCTCATGACTATGGACAGCATATTATAATAAATTCAAGAAACAAAAATAAGCTATGATTATTTCTAATTTCAGATCACACTGTGTATCTGAAAAGAGACTTAAAGTAGGAAGAAACAAATGTTATTTATACCATTCTCCTGTAGAGCCTTCAGGAGCCTTTTCAGAAAAGGGCATTTCTTTTTTTAATATAATAATATATCCTTGAAACCACTCCACGTCATTTCATAGATCTCTACATTATACATTTTTTCTCTCGTTCTTTTTCTTCTTTTTTATTTTATAGTACTCCACTGAGTGAAGGTACCATAATTTATTTAACCACTTTTTTCTGGTAGGCATTGAAGAAACCTTTATATAAAGAGATAAGCCCTTCACTATAAACTAAGTTTAAGTATTTTCTCCTATTTGGTATTTGTATTATGGCTTTGCTTACTATCTATGTGAGAGATGGGGTTACATTTTTTAAATTTTTTTTTTGCAGAAAAAATAGCCAGGCATGGTGACTTGTGCCTATAATCCTAGCCACGTGGGAGGTAGAGATCAGGAGGATCAAGGTTCAAGACCACCCTGGGCAAAAAAGTTAGCAAGATCCCAACTCAATCTATACACCAGGTATGGTGGCACACACGACTGTGGTCCCAGTTATACAGGAGGCTGTAGGTAGGAAGATCGAGGTCCAAGGCCAGCCCTGGGAAAATTCAAGACCCTACCTGAAAAATATCTAAAACCAAAAATGTGTGGCTCAAGTGGTAGAGTGGTAGAGTACTTTGGGATATTTAGTTATAATTAGGGTTTTTCCACTCCTACATCATGAAAGAATTCAACCATATTTTCTTCTAGTGCTTAGGTTGTTTTTTTTTGATGGTGCTGGGAGTTGAACCTAGGGCCTCACACATGCAAGTGCTCTACCACTTGAGCCTCGCCCCAGCTCTTTTGTTTGTATTTTGTTTTTGAGATAAGGCCCCACTACCTTTGCCTGGGCTGGCCTCAAGCTTGAAGCATGCCTCCACCTCTTTAAGTAGCTGATATTACAGGCGTGTACCACCATAATGTCTCCTTGGTAAAGTATTTTTTCATCTCATCCATATAAAGTTCATTCCATTACATATTGTGAGATTTAGGCCCTGTCTAATCTTTCACCAAAGGGCTGTGAAATATCAACATTTTTCAACATTAAATTATACCCTCAACAATGTATTTTAAAGGCCAAATATAATTTATTTCTTTATTTTATTTTGGATGTGAATGCCCTGATATTTTTTTTTCTAGGAAGTCAATGAAAATTCTCTTAAGAGATTAAGTGTCTACTTAGAAAACATCCAGAAACCAGGCTTCAAGTCTTTGAAACCAACTCAGCTTACATTTTATGTGAGAGAAACAGACCAGAACTCCTCTGATGGCCAGGAACCCTTTAGTAATTCTGGTACGTTTATTTTTTTATTATTTCTAGCATTTCCCTTGCAAGCTTCATGTGAAATGTGTTTATTAATCTTTTTTATTATTATTGTTTTATTATTCATATGTGCATACAAGGCTTGGGTCATTTCTCCCCCCTGCCCCACCCCCTCCCTTACCACCCACTCCGCCCCATGTTTATTAATCTTGACATTGCCGGAATGCCTTTGTATTGAAGCCTTGCTCATTGAAAACAGTATCACTTTACATGATTTTAATGATTTGTCCCATAAAATTAGATTCCATTCCTAGCTGCGTGGATTTGAACAAGCCATTTTTTGTGTATTTAAACTGAAGCATTCCTGGCTGTGTTCTTATTTCAGTGTTGGTGTAAGTGTGAAGCTTGTAACATTCACATTTCTAAACTGTTACTTTGTCCTCACAAGACCCTGTGAGGGTGGTAGTATTTGCCAGTTGTAACCTTGTAATCTTCAGTGCTTCTCCCACAACCTGGAGATGTAATATGGCCTTGGCCCCTAGTCTTTCTACTCCACTTTATGCTGCTTCTAAAATCCAACCAATCTTAGCATTTTTGCCTCTTTCTAGTACCTTTTGTCATAATCAGTGATGCCTAAACATAGGGAGAGCCAGACATGCATGGTGGCGCACACCTGTGATTCCAGGACTCAGGAAGCTGAGGCAGGAGAATCTTGATCTCTAGGCCAGTCTTGGCAAAGGTAGGAGACCCTGTCTCAATAGAAAGTAGGAACAAGTTTGAGGTAAAGAACTTTAAAGGTCTAGCCTCTAAACACCTATCCTTTTGGTGATCCTTGAGGAAATAACTTTATTTAAAACAAACTTAATTTAAAGATTTACCAAGGGCTTTCTGAGTTATGTCTAAAACAGAAAATGCATTCTAATTTTTTTAAAAGCTGTTATCCAACTCAGAATTTATAGACCTTTTGAGACATAGAGTCTATTTCTAGCTCTGCTAGTGACAAGTTGAGTGACCTTCACTTCACCTCTAGGTCTTCATTTATTAAGATGAAAAGCCTCATATTGAAAAGCCTCATTGTCTTATGCTTACAAGGTACTCAGGACCTCAGGTGGCAAGGAAAGGGCTCCATCTAAAAAGCACTCAAATAGAGTCTTTGTATTAAAGACAGTTTTCTCAAAGTCTCTCCAGAGATTAGCATCTGATAGCGTATTCTATCCTATCTTTTATTCCCCCGATCGAATATGTGTGAGCAAGGACAGCAAATTCCTTTTCTTGCCAGTTTTTCCATCTACCTCTGATTTAGGTTTTTATTAAAAATAACCCCTGTCAGGTATTGAGACACACACCTGGAATCCCAGCACTTTGGAGGTTTAGGCAGGAGGATCACAAGCTCAAGGCCAATCGGACCTACATAGCAAGACCCTGTCTCAAAGAAAAAAAAATATTTATATAGATATAGATATATACATATATACACATATAGATATATAGCTTACTCTTCATTATTCAGAGACAAAAGTCAACTCATAGCCCTTTTGTAGAGGGGTAGCTATGCTGAAAGCTGTAAATAATACTCATAATAATAATGGATAATAGATGATAATGTTTATTGTTCTCACTGACACAATTCCATTTGAAAGTGTTAATAGTCATTATTTGTTTAAACCAGCCCATGCCTGTAATCTCAGCACTTAGGAGGCTAAGGCAGGAGGATCTTGAGTCAAGGCCCACCTGGGCTACATAGCAAAACCCTATCTCAAATTTACAAAGTAAACTATGAGTATGTCATTCTTTGCCATGAGAGTCTCACAAATGAGTCATATTTTTTTTGCCAGTGTCAGACCAAACATTCATAAATATTGTAATAGATAAGTGCTTCTGTAGCTCAGCATCAAGATTAGGCTAGGAACTGAAGAAGCATCACACTGATACATAGTGACCTACTTAGGTTTCATGATTTCTCCCAGAGGAGAGGTGGAATTTACAGAGACAAATTATACACCTTTTACAGTTTTTAAAGTAAAAGTAGTACCCCTGGTCTGTTTTTATTTTTATGTATTTAGAAGAGTCAAGTCATTTCTATAGCTACAGCTACTACTTCCACAACCACTGAGCTTAAATATTGAATACACATATAGTTAAAGAAATTTGAAAGCTTAGAGTAAAACTTAGTACATTTTACAGAGCAAATTAGGGGCAGAGCTAGTACAAGAACTAATATTTCCTTATTCTTAGACCAATAAGTTGAGTTTGATACCACATTTTCCATTAATTCTTCTTTAAAAATACTAAAATACTGCTATTCATTTTTTTGGTTTTGCCTTGATGACAAAGATTGGCAATCTGACAAAGATTTAAAACAATTACTTCTTCAACATTTATCTGATTATAAAATTAACACCAATTGTTTTTTGAGTTTTCATTTCTAGAACACTAAAAATCATTAATCAGCTTTTCATTGGTAGTTAAGGTAAGACGTTTACTAGTGATTTTTCATCACTGAAATTTCATGAACCATTTTGCATTATTAATGCATCAAAATTCTTAAAAAGCCTAAATCATTTTTTTCAAACTCCACATACTTTTGGTGGTCTATGAGGAAATAAACTTTATTATTCAGATAAATTTTGAAGCAACTTAAGAATTTACTAAGAACTTTCTGTGAGTTAATGCTAAAACAAATAGCTGTACCCAGCTATGGCTGAGTAGAGACAAAAAAAAAAAAATCCACTACTCTTAATTAATAGTTAACTGTGAGCTATTCATTAACAAAAACAAGCTATAGAAAAAATTAAGTTCAAAATGAGAGAAAACATATTACATATGACACAAAGATAATAATATATAAAGAGTTCTTATACATCAAAAAGAAAATGAAGTATCTCCAATACAGAAATAGGCAAAGACAATGAATGGGCAGTTCAAGAAATCATTCCTATCAATAGCCAATAAAAGCATTTAGCCTTCAGCATTCAAATGCAAACTGAAATAATGAGGTACTATTTTTGCCCATTAACATTTGCTCTTTTTTTTTTAACCTATACTCCCCACAGATGGTGAGAATGCATCTTCATACTTTATTATTGGGTGTGTAAATTCACATAAACTTTCTAGACTGCACTTTGAAATGATCTCCCCCAAACTGGAGAATTCCTGTTCTCAAAATGTAGCTTAAGACACCAGTAAAGGGCATGGTGGTCTGGTCTAAGCAAGCTTCACTGTACAGCAGTCCTTGGGATTAAATGAATGGATTAAATGATTAATGAATTGATAAATGAAGATAGAAACTAAGATTTATTCCTTGACTTAGCTCTTCTAAGGATGAGCTATTTCTTCCTAACCTCAAAGCAGGAGTTTGGGTTTTCTTTTTTCCTTCGCTGACTAGAACTTAATTCTCCTGCCAGTAGTTCTCACTTGGTGGCACAATGTATACACATGTAAGTAAAGATAACAATGATAAAATAATAGGAGAAAAAAATAGTTCTCACTTTACCATCAAATGATTCAACTAAAAAAATCTTTCTTACGTTGCACATTCTGGATTCTGTAAGTCTGTGTGCAAAACAATTTCAGTCACCTCTGAGAGGATTTAAATTTCTGCCATCAGTTGCAAGAAACAAGAAAACACATTCCAACCTTGTATAGAATTGTGAAATATTAAAAACAACATATATGTCCATCCATCACTATTAAAACTGATAAACTATGCTATAGTTAATAACTGGTCTGCTTGTGTAACTGCTATAAAGAATGAGGTTGACTTATACATACAGATGTAGAAGGGTCACCAAGGTTAAGTAAGAAAAGCAAGTTCAAAATAATATATCCAGAATGATACTATTTATATGCAAAAAAGGAGTAATACAAACTGAGTGTGTTTCTTTAAGTACATATGCATGTGTCATATACAGTGCACACACTGAGAAGCATATAGACAAGGTTTAGACCAGTACTGTCCAAAAGGCCTTTCTGCAACAAGGGAAGTGTTGCATGTGTATGCCATCTATAGAATACTTGAAATACTGCTAGTGTGACCAAGGAACTGATTTTTATATTTTATTTAATTTTTATTAATTTAGTTGCAAACAGCCACATGTGACTAGTGTCTACCTGATTAATGCAAATTTGAAATAGGTAAGCAAATGTTAATAGTGGTGATGTTAGTAAAGGTGTAAGGTTGTATGTTTGTTAACAGACTTTTGCATATATATGCATATGTATGTATATATACATATACAAAGTTTATAATAGCAATACTTGTACTAGAATAATTTCCAAACTAAAAAAAAATTTTTGAAGAGTCAACATGTTCTAGTAGAGAAAATACTTGGCTTAGTGTCAGCTCAGACTTAAGCCCTCTCTTCACCATCATCCTTCTTGGTCCTGTTTTTCTTCACACTTGGCAAGAAAGACAGGAATGGCACGCTTGATGGGAGTGGTGATTGAAAAGTTGTGTGAATCATTAGAACCTTACCTGACACCTAGTGAAGGGAAAAAAGCCAAAACCCCAAACCAGTGGATGATTTGCAATTTAGATTACCACCCTTCACCCCACATCACAGTCAGGTTGTGAAGCACTTTTAAATGATTAGATAATTTTTAATCATTCCTGGAAATACTGGGTCACTAGTTAGTTGAGTGGGTAAGCGGGAGGACAATCTCTAGCAATTCTAGAGAAACCTCAAGATGGGTTTCTGTGACCACTGGGTCAGATAACCTGTCCCTCCCTTTTATCCACACCACTGTCACAGTGTGGGTGCTCTCATGTGTTTTTGCTCCCTCTAAGCTAGAAATTATCTTTGATGGACACCAACTGATGGGATAGCTTCCCCTTCTCCTCCCAGCATTTCTCATGAAATGAGCATTTCTCATGAGCAGCATTGAAAATATTTTGAGTCCTCCTTTTTAGGTGGATTCAGTAGAAAGGGGAGCTGACCTTAGAAAAATTCATGAATGTAAAATAGCACTGTATAGTTTTAGTGAAGGGAGGTAGTTTTCCATTTACAGATGATTTACCAATAGGATGAATTGTAATTGGTAATGGAATGTTTTCAAAGATTCTGATTTTATAAATGTTGCATGAAATTATTTGAAGGTAAAGCAAGTAATCCTCTGTATTAATTGTTGGGGGGGATTATATTCTCTAGGGTTTCGAGCAGTCAGATTTACTTTGCACACCCGAGACCTGCTAAGCACAGTATTATATATTCTCAACTCCTGCAGTTTATCTGCTGAACACATCCAAAGCTCCAACACTAATGTGCACTCCCAGCCTCTCAAAGAAGCTAAGCGGTTGTCCGACAGGCCCATCAAATGGGACAAGTCTTACTATTCCTTTACTGGATTCAAGGACCCTGACGAAGACCTTGAACAAGTCTCAAGAATGGAAACAACCCTAACGTATGTAAAAGATTTTATTTAACTGATCTGCCATTTATGATTCATGTTGAAAATTAAAGTCTAATTTTCCACAAAAATAATCCTAGTGATATAGTTAATCCCCTAACCATTATGAAAAAGATACTTCATGTTCCTTACTTAAAGTTGCAGAATACTTCCAGATGTATTTAATTTGTTTTAGTCTTTTGATACCAAATGCGTGGGAGATTTTAAGTTTTAAAAATTCTCTTTGAGTTACCCCTAGCATATGGGAGAGGACCATGGCCACACCTAAAACTAGGAAAGCTTTTTGAACTTCTTCACATATTGGACATTTCCAATTTCTTTGGGAAATTCAGGAGCAACCATTCATAAAGAAAAATGCATGGAAACAACATTGCAAAATACCATCTTGAACAGCTTATTGAGAAATATTTTTAAATTATAAAAAAGATATGAAATATTTCTCTTATCATTTGGCATGCCTTGTTTGTAAAGCCACCATTAATTTTTTTTATTAAGTCATACTTATACTCCTTAACAATCAGTCACATTCTGCTTCTGTGATTGTATCCAAAGAATCCAGTGGCTTGCCAGAGAATTCTGACTTACTGTAGCATAGAAAATTGTCTTTGTTATCCACTGGCATAGAATCTGCTTTATGGATTATCTGTCCTAAACCAGGAATTTCTCCCCTTGTCATCTAGCTAGATCCCAAATAAGGCTGCAGAGATAGGAAGGTAGCAGCGTCCCATACAGAGAGGGAGACAAGTGTAAGACTGAAGGCATGAATGTTTGTAGCTGAGTGCAATGTAGCTGTGATATTTGATGCATAACTGATGTGGCTTTTAATCATCTGGATTGCCCTCTGTAAACAGACAAATGAAAATGGGGATTTGGGGATGGTAATTTATTAGACCAGCAGATATGAGACAGTAAGACATAAGGGTAAAAAGCAAAGAGCAGTCATCATGGAGTACATAGAAATTGATTAATTTAAATTTTTAGTTAGAAAACAAGAAGGGAAATTGGAGGTTAATTATACCCAGAGGCTATTGTGGGAGTTGAAGTGGACAGCTCTGAGCCTGCATTGGGAAATTCCCAGCCCCACATGCACTGCGGTATAGACCATCAAAACTCTGCTTACGCCATGAGAAGAGTTGCTTTTCTTAGCTTGCATTGTGCCAAGGTGAACAAAAGGTTTGGCCTAAAATATAGGGAAAAAAATGAGATTGTCTAAGTCAAGGCAAAAACAAAAGCAGAAGTGACAGTTGGAACTTTACCCATGCTCAAGGGCTTAAGGATAAAGTATTAAGGAATTTCAGAGAAGCAGTTAGTCTGTGGTTCAGTCAGTAGAGTGTTTTGTAGAGTGTAATTTTGATTTATAGCTGAATGTGCAGTCATTTTTAAAAGATTGTCCTTGCCCAGCATGGTGGCTCATGCCTATAATCCCAGCTACTCAGGAGGCAGATCACTGTCAAAGGCCTGCCCAGGCATTAGAGCAAGACCCTGTCTAAACAAACTAAAGCAAAAAGAATTGGGGTGTGAATCAAGTGGTAGAGCACTTGTAGAAGGCTCTGAGTTCAAACCTCCAGTCCTGCCAGAAAAAAAAAAAAAGATTATTCCAAAGACTGAAAACTAAGAGTTACCACCTAGCAAAATAATGGAAATTACAAGATATGTGGTATTCAGTGGGCTTCTTCTCTAAGCTGAGCCTTGTATAATTTCTTTATTTAAATGTTCATTGAATAAAGTTCCTGTGTCTAGTAAATACAGTGGACTTTCTTCTATTTTATTACATTATACTAGATAGTGCATTCTTTCTGTTTTCAGCTTCTTTTTTATTGTCTCAGAATCACCCTGTGGAGTGGGTAAGACTGTCCCCATTTTGTGGTGGGTAGGAGAGTTTGCATAGACACAATTCTCTGATTCACTATGCACTTCTTTTTCTGAATTGGTTCCTCTTCTAAAAACAAGTATTTCAGGAATCATAAGAAATTACTAATGTCCCTTTGTTAGACAGTGAGTTCTTAGGAACAGGTGTGAATCATCACTGCTGACGTCTATAAACTAATTGTAAGAATTCCAAAGATCAAGTCATGAAGGTACAATCATAAGATTACATTACAGTGCACTTTTTGTTTGTGTGCTGCTGGGGAGCAAACAGGATGTCACGCAGGCCAAGCACGCACTGTGCCACTGAGCTACACCCCAGTCCCCAAACCACATGTGCTACGGCACTTGGTAATTCACTTTTCTTGCTTTCTTTTACATGCTTTAAAGTAAATTGAATAACATATTACTTAATAAATGAGAGAAGATTGGGAAATTATAATGTAATATCTAATTAAAGTTAAGGTATTTTTACTCAGTTCCCTATTTATCACATACAACTCAAGAGTGACAATTTTAAACAATGTTCTTTGTTGGTTGGTTCTTTGAGATTGGACATTCATGTTCCTGCGTCAGCCTCCCAAGTGGCTGGAACTACAGGCATGATCCATGCACTGAGCTCACAATGTTCTTAAGAAGGGTGTGGGAAGGATTGTTAATTGCTGTTTCAAGCTAGTGAATCAAAAAATGTTGAACAACTAAGCTTGGTGCAGTGGCTCCTAACTGTAATCCTGCCATCTCAAGAGGTGGAGAATGGGAGGATCACAGTTTGAGGCCCGCCTGGACAAAAAGTTTGTGAGACCCCATCTCATCCAACAAAAGCTAGGCATTGTGGTCCACACATCTCATTCCAGCTATATGGAAAGCATAAATCAGAAGATTTCAGTTCAGGCCAGCCTGGGCATAAACCACAAGACCCCATTCAAAAAATAACTAAAGCAAAACGGGTTGGGGGTATGTCTCAAGTGGTAGAGTGCCTACCTAGCAAATGCAAAGCCCTGAGTTCAAATCCAGTACCACCAAAAAGAAAAATCCCATCTCTAGAAATCTAATGACAGGTTTGGTGTGATTAAAATTAAACTTTTTCAATACATAAAGGAATTGGCCTAACTATAATGTGATTTGACAGGTGCTGGTAATTCTCCAGGCAACCTCTCTTAAAAGTAGGCAGTTCTCTAAAAGACTAGACTTGTTAGAAGTAAAAGTTTGACCAGGGATAAAGGTGCACTTCTGTAATCCAAGCTCTCAAGAGACTGAGGCAAGAGGATCGCAAGTTTGAGGCCAACCTGGCTTACATATGAGATTTTGTCTCAAAAAACATTTAACATTGGAGCTGTTTTAAAATAACACGCAGGTCTTTTAATGGCAGAAATGTTTATATTACAGTTATCATTGCAAAGTGCTTATCTCTGTTTTTTCTTTATAGATCCTGGTTACATAACAATGGAAAAAGGGCTGTTAAAAAGTTGAAGAACAGTTTGCCACTTAGAAAAGAACTAGATCGTTTAAAAGATGAGCTGTCTCATCTGTTACAACTCTCAGATATCAGGTAATGAGGAAGAGACCCTAATGTACAGATTTAAATGCACAAGTATCACCCACTGGAAAAACTTTCCAGCAGTTTTTTGGCCATAGAGGCTCATGCCTGTAATCCTAGCTACTCAGGAGGCAGAGATCAGGAGGATCACAGTTCGAAGCCAGCCTGGGGAAATCAAAACTCTCTCAAAAAATACCTATCACAAAAAAGGGCTGGAAGAGTGGCTCAAGGTGAAGGCCCTGAGTTCAAGTCCCAGTACCACAAAAAAAAAAAAAAAAAAGCTGGGCAGGATGACACACATCTGTCATCTCAGCTACTTGGGAAGCATAAATTAGATGATTGAGATCCAGACCAGCCCTATCCCCAAAATAACTAAAGCTAAAGGAGCTGAAGTGCCTGCCTAGCAAATGCAAAGTCCTGAGTTCAAACTCCAGTAACACACACCAAAAAAAGCATGGGCCTCCTCAGGAGTCGGGCGGTTGGGGTGAGCTTTTCCTCCTCCAGTATGCCCCTGTTGACATGCCTGTGTCTGTTGGCCTAGGTGGCAGAGGGGCTGGGGTATTGCCCACCGTTGCAGCCAGCTGCACAGTCTAGGCCGCCTGGCACAGCAGAATTTGGAAACACTTCAGAAAGCAAAAGGTAAATGTTTCTACTTTCTTTCAAATTAGCACTTAGCTGCCATGTACACCTATAAACTGTAGCAGATGGACTTTATCACAGCTGAATTTTAAATAAACAGAGACATAAAATTGGCCTTTAAGCTTCTACCAAACTTAATCCTGAGTTTATATACTAAATTTAAGTAATATTTGCACAATGCTAAAAGAGTGAAGTATCTGCAGATGGTGACCCAAGGGTTTGTGTTTTATCATCAGGATGCACCATCATCTTTACAGACCGCTCGGGCATGAGCGCAGTGGGCCACGTGATGCTGGGAACGATGGACGTCCATCATCACTGGACAAGAGTAAGAGAGCAGCACCATCCCTAGGCATAAAGGAAATGCAGATTAAAACCACACTAAGATTCCACCTCACCCCTGTTAGAATAGCCATCATCAGCAACACCACCACCAACAGGTGTTGGCGAGGATGCGGGGGGGAAAAAGGAACCCTCTTACACTGTTGGTGGGAATGTAGACTAGTTCAACCACTCTGGAAAAAAATTTGGAGGCTACTTAAAAAGCTAGACATTGATCTACCATTTGATCCAGCAATACCACTCTTGGGGATATACCCAAAAGACTGTGACACAGGTCACTCCAGAGCAGAGGCACCTGCACACCCATGTTTATTGCGGCACTATTCACAATAGCCAAGTTATGGAAACAGCCAAGATGCCCCACCACTGACGAATGGATTAAGAAAATGTGGTATCTATACACAATGGAATTTTATGCAGCCATGAAGAAGAACGAAATGTTATCATTCGCTGGTAAATGGATGGAATTGGAGAACATCATTCTGAGTGAGGTTAGCCTGGCCCAAAAGACCAAAAATCGTATGTTCTCCCTCATATCCAGACATTAGATCAAGGGCAAACACAACAAGGGGATTGAACTTTGATCACATGATAAAGCGAGAGCACACAAGGGAGATATGAGGTTAGGTAAGACACCTTAAAAACTAGATAGCATTTGTTGCCTTCAACGCAGAGAAACTAAAGCATATACTTTAAAGCAACTGAGGCCAATAGGAGAAGGGGACCAGAAACTAGAGAAAAGGTTAGTTCGAGAAGAATTAACTTAGAAGGTAACACATATGTATAGGAATGCAATGCAAGTCAACTCCCTGTATAGCTATCCTTATGTCAACTAGCAAAAACCCTTGGTCCTTCTTATTATTGCTTTTACTCTCTCTTCAACAAAACTAGAGATAAGGGCAAAATAGTTTCTGCCTGGTAGCGAGGGGTTAGGAGGAGTAAGGGAGGGGAGGTAAGGGGGGGAAGGGGGAAGAAATGACCCAAACACTGTATGCACATATGAATATAATAAAAACAGAGAAAAAAAAGAGAGAACAGAATGGCAGAGCTGTGTGTCTTGTTGTCAATAGGCTTTGGTTTCAAACAATGCTATGATGTCAGTGAGCTAGCAAAATTTAATCATAGCTCCAGCTGTTTTCAGATCAGATGCTGAATATTGAAAAAAAACAAAACTTTTGTAGTAGTGGTATTAGGCGGTTTTTGTCTGGTAATTTATCCTCTTTTCTGAGGCCTAGCAGAAAACCTGCATTCTCTTGTTTTGTTTTTTTCTTTTTTACAGATTTATTGAGGTATAGCTTACATTCAATAAAATACATATTTTGCATGTCTGATTGGATAAGGGGGTGAAGCCGTCAATGGCAAACCAATCTAGAGAACTTACCCGCCACTTGCAAAAGATGCTTGCTCATAGCCCTCTGTAAACCTGACCTACCTGATCTGTGGTGCTTGCTCTCACCACAGATCTTACATAAGTGGAACGCTAGACTATGTATTTTTCATCTGGTTTCTTTTACTCACTTATTTTGAGATTCGTCCCTGTGGTTACATGTAATTATGCTTTACTCCTTTTTAGTGCTGTGTGGTATGCCACGGTTTGTGTTTTGATTCACATGTTGCTGGATACTGGGTTCTGTTAGATTTTGAGCTTTTACAAATAAAGCTGCTATGGATATTTGTATATAAATATATGTTTTCTTTTGTCTTTTGTTTGTTTGCTTTGTTTTTGCTTGTATTTTGTTGTTTTGAGACAGGGTCTCACTATGTAGCCTAGGGCAGCTCCAAACTTCCAGTCGTGCCTCCACCTCCAAAGTGTTGGATTACAGGAGGGCACCACCACACCCAGCTTGGACATACATTTTCTTTCTCTTATGTAAAAATCTAGGGCGTGATGGTTGGATCATATGGTATAATGTATTTTAACTTTTTAAGAAATGCCAAAAGATAGTCACCATTTTAATCCTTCATTCTTGTAGGTGTGTGGCACTGTCGCATTATGACTTTAATTGGCATTTCTCAAAATAATGACAACTAATGGTGAGCATCTCTTCACATGCTTATTTGCCATCTACAGACTTTCTATGATGATGTCTGCTCAGATCAAAGCATTTGGTAGAAAATATGTGCATACCTCATATCTGACAGAGACTTAGTCTCTGGAATATAAAAAGAACCCTCAACACTCAGCAGTTAAAAAAAAAAAAGCCAATCCAACTAGCAAATAAGCAAAAGACACAAAAAGACCTGTCACCAAAAAGGATGCACAGGTGACAGATATGTAAATGTGTTGTTACCATTGGGGACATGCAACTTGAAACCGCAGTGCAGAACATAACTCAGTGGTAGAGCTGTACAAAGCCCAGGGTTCATCCCCAGCACCACAAAAAAAAAAAAAAAAAAAAAAGGCTGGGTGCCAGTGGTTCACGCCTGTAATCCTAGCTACTAAGGAGGCAGAGATCAGGAGGATCATGGTTTAAAGCCAGCCCGGGCAAATAGTTTAAGAGATCTTTATCTTGAAAAACCCCTTTACAAAAAGAAAGGGTTGGTGGAGTGGCTCAAGGTGACAGCACTGAGTTCAAACCCCAGTACCAAAAAAAAAAAAAGTACCACAATGAGCTCTCACCACACACTGCATGCAATCAAAATGGCCAAAATAAAGAAATGATCACCCCTGCTTGCTGCCGGGTGTATAAAATGGCTCTGAAATGTGTTCTGTGTGTGACCCAGCGATTGCACTCTTGAGCATTTATACTAGAAAAATGAAAAATTATGCTCACCCAGAATCCTGTCCATGAATATTCACAACAGCTAAAAACTAGGACACAATCTTCATGGCCTCTGGGACGAGAATGCTTAAGTAAACAAACTGGGGCCCATTCATACCAGAGAGTCCTACTTAGCAATAAGAAGAAATAAACTTGATATGTGGAACAATTTTGATATATACTGAGTGAGAAAATTTGGTATCTGCCAGGTGCAGTGGTTCATGTCTTTAATCCCAGTTTAGAAGATTGGGAGGAAATCAGTTTGAGGCCAGCCCCAGCAAAAAGTTAGGGGTGTAGTGGGAACAAAGGGGCCGTGGCACTGAGATCTGGAAGCAGCACTTTATTGGTGGCACCGCGACTCAGAGGGATAACTCCCAAAGTCTGAGCCCCGAACACAGTTACACTTTTATACATTAGCAAGCCTTGAGTACATCAAGGCAGGGGGTCAATGCATCTCATTGGAGGACAGGTTTTACATTCCTAATTTGGGTCCAAGCCTCTCTCTGCCAGAGCATGACAAAGTGGGGTAAGGGGGTCCTTCTGTTGCTCTTCTTTTGCAGTTTCTTTGTTGAACCTCCAGCTGCAAGCTTCTGTTTTTGTCTTTGTGGTTAAATGTCAGTGAGCACAGCTACTGCCTGTCAGCAAAGGTGTTAAGACTGATTATTTGCATTTTATTTTACCACAGGAGAAACCCCATCTCAACTAACAAGCTGGACTTGGTAATACAGGGATGCAATCCTAGCTACTAGGAGGCATAAGTAGAAGGAGCAGGGTCTTGGCTGCCCTAGGCACAAACATGAGACCTATCCAAAAAATAAATAAGATGAAAAAAAAGAAAAGGTCTGGAGGCATGGCTCAAATAGTAGAGTGCTTGCATAGCTTGTGCAAGGCCCTGAGTTCAAACCCCAGTACCCTTGAAAGAAGGGAGGAAGGAAAGGAGAGAGGAGGGAAGAGAGGGAAGACAGTCTCCAAATGTTACATACTGTATGATTCCATTTATATAACATTCTTAAATAAGAAAATTATTATTAACACGTTTTTTAGTGTACTTGTCATATATGAATGAGTAACCCCTTGACATGAAAATCAAAAGTTGTGGTTAGAATTGGTTTTCGTAAAATATAATTAGGTAGATTATAAATAATCTGTAGAATTTACATTAACATTGTTGCTTTCATTCTAGAAGAATGCTTTCCACTCCAACCCCAGCTTTCAATAGAAAACCAGTGTTCCTTCCTCCCCTTAGCAAACAGGTCATACTCCCACTATACCCAGCTTAAGGGGGGGTCTTTCTCTCCCTCTCTCTCTCTCTCTCTTCCTCTCTCTGCCTCTCTCTCTCCTTCCCTCCCTTCTTCCCTCACTTCCTTCCTTCCTTTCTTTCTTTACTAATTTTGGTAGCGGTACTGGGGTTTGAACTCAGCGCCTTGCACTTGCTAGGCAGGTGCTCTACCACTTGAGCCACACCCCTATTTTTCAAATAGGGTCTCATATTTATGCGTGGACTGCAGTCCTCCTATTTGCACTTCCTGCATAGCAGACATGTTAGGCATCATCCCCAGCTTTTATTTTTTGAGATGGAGTCTCTTGAACTTTTTCCTCTGGCTGGCCTCAAAACTTGATCCTCCTGATCTCTGCCTTCCAAGTATTTTTGTTGTTGTTGTTGTTTTGCTTTATTTTTCAGATAGGGTCCAGCATTTCAGACAAGAGGATTTGCCTGGAACAATCCCCCTACCTACATTGTTCCATGTCCCATGTCCTGTCCCTTCCCACCCCCCCATAGCTGTGACTACAGGCATGAGCATCAGCACCCAGCTTATTTGTTAAATCACTTCATCATTCTAAACTAGTTTAAGATTCCTACCTGGATATTTAAATATTAGTACTTATTTTATTTGGAACTTACTTCATTTCTTTTTCTTCAATCTCTACCTAAAATCCTTAGTCTTATAGTGATTTGTTTTGAATATCAATATTTCCAGCATTATAAGTTCTTTTTTCTATCTTTTATTTGAATGTTCCTTCTAAGACAATAATTTTCTTCTTAAACTCTCTCAGTATCACTTAGTGAGATCCTAAAGTTATTACAGCAACATCAAACTAATTTTTTTTTAATACTGTAGCTTTTTGAAAGATTGCCAAGTTACTTCGACCTTCAGAGGAGGCTGACGGTTTTGGAAGACCAAATAAGCTATCTTTTAGGTGGCATCCAAGTAATTTATATTGAAGAATTCCAGCCAGTATTAACACTTGAAGAATACTATTCTCTTCTTGATGTATTCTACAACAGACTGGTGAAAAGTGGACTGCCTTTTCACCCTCAGAGTCTCCGTGGCCTACAAATGATCCTTAGCAGGTAAATATCCAAGTGACCTTTGTGTAAGTACATAAAATTGTGTTGTATTTCAATGTGTAGATCTTAGGAATTACAGAAAAGAATGTCACGACTGGTGTGTGTTAGCAAGCCTCTGTACACGAGACAGGTGCCAGCAGGAGAGGGTTGAAGGGTTGGATCTCCACAACATTCTGTTATGAAATCACCACTTACTGGACAGAGTCAAGTGTGTGGAAATTTTAGATTTAATGAATAGCCAGCATTTTGTGTGTGTGTGTGTTCTTGGCCCACGTGTGCTGGGTGCCACAAGACCTTCTCTCCTCAGCTCTCACAACCTCACCATGGGTTACCACTGCTATTTTACAGAGAGGGATGGTCATCCTAACAAGATGTCTTTAGGGGCTTTAAGTCAGTGTTGCCATATTTTTAAGTTGGACTCTCCAGAGGATTCCTTTTCAGTTACTCAATTAGTAAGTCATTTGCTCTGTCACAGGAATGGAAAGGATCAAGGATTTTTCCTCTAATGTGTGTTTCATTTCAGAGACAGATATGCTCCAAGCTTGCATGAACTCGGGCATTTTAATATCCCAGTGCTCTGTGATCCAGCAAGTCTCCCATGGTTTATTCACACTAAAGCCCAGCAAGCAAGAGAGAACATGAAAAGAAAGGAAGAGTAAGTACTGTTAGCCCTCTGAAAAGTCATAGCACTTGCTCTAACTTTTAAAAAGTCAAGTATTTGGAGGACATAAACATGGGGGATTAAAACTGCATTAAAAGGGCTGGGCATAGTGTTTCACAGCTGTAATCCCAGCTGTATGGAAGACCAATGCAAGAGGATGATGTTCAAGGCCAGCCCTAGGAAAGAAGCATGAGACCCCGCCTGAAAAATAAACTAGAGCAAAAAGGGCTTGGGGCATGGCTCAAGTGGTAGAGTGCCTGCCTGCAAGTATAAGGCCCTGAGTTCAAACCCCAGTACCGCCAGGAAAAAAAAAAAAAAACTGCATTAAGGGACTGTAGATAAAGCTCAGTGGTAGAGCACTTGCCCAGCATGCACAAGGTGCTGGGTTCCTCCCTAGCACCACCAAAACAACAAACACCAACCAAAAAAACCCCACTACATTAAACTTTGGAGGTTAACTAATTTGTGAGAAATCCATACCTATTTATTCCTCACCTGCAAGAGATTAGACATGGCTGATTTGTATACATGATAACCCAAGTTACCACCAAGTACCTCAGCTTGAAAAGTAGGACTTGTTAATAAAAATTCACTGCAGGATCAGAATGATAAGAATATCAGAAAAAGCCAGGTATGGTAATGCACCTGTAATCCCAGCTACTCAGGAAGCTGAGAAGGGAAGAGCATGGTTTAAGGCTAGCCTGGGCAAAAGTTAGCAAGGCCCTTCCTCAAAAACAAGGCAGGTTATAACAGCATACACCAGTGGTCCAAGACACTTGAGAGGTAGGAAGCTTGAGGTCCAAGACCAGACCAGGCAAAAGCCTGAGACCCTACCTGGAAAACAAAACTAAATGCAAGTGGCCTGGGGCATGGCTCAAATGATAGAGCACCTGCCTAGCAAGCAAGAGGTACTGAGCTCAAATCCCAGTACCACCAAAAAAATTATCAGAAATTCTTCATACAGAAAAGACTGTCAGGAAGGAGAAAAGGTAGTTATTACTTAACAGGAAGATGATGTCTATTATTTAAAAAAATGTTAACTACTTGTACAAAAAACTTCATCTGCATTTTAGTTACATTGAGAAGAAACTTTGAAGTAAAACTTATTTTGTTTCATAAGGAGTTCTGTTTCTGTGTTGTTTGTACCTTTGAAAGAATCAGATTATAACCAAGAGCTTCCTATTTGTTGCTGGTAAGATACTGCTCAATGTTTTCTGTGTCTGCCATGAAGAAAGGAAGGTGTTACATTCAAAAGACAGTTGTTTTCCTAAAGCTGTTGCCCAAGAGGTTGGGTTGTCAAGCATTTATTCATCCATTCATTCCTTTACTGTGACTGCTGGGTGCCCATAGCCATGATACGTACCACTAACAGAGAGATGAAGACAGGCCCTGCCTGCCTGAATTTGTTCCTAGGAAATGTGAGTGCTGGAGCATCAGTGGTAGCTGGACCACCAGTGGTAGCTGGACCACAAAGTTGGGTGGAGCAGGAAGAGCCAAAACTGGCACTCTGGGAGCATGAGAAGTGAAGGCCCTGGCAGAGCAGCAGGAGGGAGGCTGAGGAGACCTCTGGTTCATGTGGGTGGGAGTTAAAAGGAGAGAGCAGGAAAAGAGGGAATGGAGCCTGGCAAGAAAAGGAGCAGTGGTTGTTGGGCAGGGTGCTGGAAAAGCTGCTCTCCTACCTGACTGTCCATTCACAGCTCAGTCCCTACAACGTGTTCTTTTAAAAAGCCAGGCACATGAGGACAGCACTGAGAACCATGGAAGGTGGCCTTTTAACAAGAGGTAATGGACTCGTTTAATGAATAAAATAAATAAAGGAACTCTTTGTTTTGCTTGTGGAGTTGGTCAGAGTCTGTCATAGAGTCCTACTTCTTGCTGGGCTGCTCAGCATTTGTCCCTGCTTTGCCCCTGGCAGCAGCTCTGGCCAGCCTTTTGTGGCTAGGGCTGATGGTGTTTCCCGGTCAGCAACTGCTGCCTTTTCTGTTGTTCTCTATGATCTTATGGATGGAGTATGGCTACTAGCTTGCCAGGAAGGATAAAAAGAAACACAGCTCAAACAGGTCAGTTTAGGAAATTTCCACTCTGCCAGATGCTAAGGCAAATGAAAACCCTTGCCTTGTCACAGTTCCTCTACCTCCCAGCCCACACCCAGGCCACCAGTGTGTTTTCTCTTGGCCCCTGTTCAGAGGATACCGAGAGCCCACCACTTCTCACTTCCTGGCCCAATCCCCCCCTCACTGTATGTTGACTTCTTATCTGTCTCCAAGCTTCCATGCTCTTCCTCTCCCTGGACCCCAGTGGACTCTCGTCAGAGCCCGAGTGAAGAGCTGGGAACCAAGGACAAGCTGCCCTGCCCTGGGCTCCCTAAGGGCCAGACCTGCGCCCTCCGTGGCTCTGATGATTGCCCTCACTCATTCTGCTCTGGCCCCAGGAGCCTTGTCATCTTCCTTGGGCCCGTTTCAGTGTGCTTCCCTCCCGGGGCCTGCGTGCTTCTTCCCCAGAAGTCTCCATCCACCTCCCTCAGGCCTCAGCATCCAGTCTCCTCAGGGAGGCCTCTGTGAGCACACAGCTTAGCGTGGAGCTCGCACCCCTGTAGCTTCCTCTCCTGGCCTGCTCTGCTCTCCCCAGCACATGTACCCCCATCTGCCTCCAAAGACTGTTTCCCCCCACCAAACAGAATGTAAGCTCCCTGCAGCAGGCTTTGGTCTCCTGTCTCCTTCAGTGCTGGCTGAATTAGTGGCTGGCACACAGGAGGCCTCTGGTGATTTCACTGACCAACTCCATTCATTTTCCTTGCCTCTTTCACTCCTTTCCAGCTCTCAGCCCTACACTTATCCCAGGGAGAGGAGACACTTGTCTGGTCCCCACGTCCCTTACTGCTTTGACATTGCCCCACCACTGCAGCCATGGCTATGGCCAGGAGCCCCCCTCCTTCCCACTGCCGCCCCCCTTTTCCTTTGCTCTTCTCTCCTACCCAAGTCAGATCAGCTTTATCCTCATCACCAGGGAGCGAATAGGAATCCCTCCCTGCCTTAGATAAAATCCTTGCAGATAGTTTAACTGCATGTGTCTTTATGAAGCAGATAGATAAGTGAGAACTCAGTTGATTGAACCAATAGATGCTCATAGCTGCCATAGTTCTGGAGGAAAGGAACTAGAGCACACCCACACCCACACCCACATGGCTCTCTGAGTTCTTCTGCTGGCCCTGAGCTCACCAGATGACTTCAGAACCACTTCTGTAAGCTAATCTCTGGGCCCTGTCTTTTAGAATTCACATGATGGTCTCCAGACCATGTGACTTGGAGCTCCTGTCTTTTCACGTGACCTGGCTGATGTATAGGAATTACACGCTTCCTGTAGTCCACACTCCTAGTTCACAGCTCTTAGGGACAGTGATAATTTCCAGGGTACCCTGCACCTAGAGAACAAACCACTTCTCCCTTGGGCCCTCCTCACTTCATGGTTCTTGTGGTCATTACGCAGATGTGTCCTCTTATCCTTTATTATATATTTCAGCTCTCAAAATCACTTAGACAAATTGGGTACAGTACAAATGTACAATAAAATAAGAATGGTTGAATAATTTTGATACTTTACTAGCGTAGAAACACCCATTTAAAAGAATGTTCATTCACCCACTTAACGTTTATGGAGCATTTCTGTGTCAGCACAACAAACAGCCTTGAAGAACTCACATCCTGATGTGAGAGGCAGAGTGGTTTAACTTTGTGTCAAAAACAAAACAGTAATGTCTGACAAGGGAAGGGAGACCATTGCCCCTCTAGGATACAGAGAAGGAATGGAACTGCCCAGCAGCCACACTCATCATCCCTGTGCCATGTCCTGACATTTCTCTCACTTGTACTGCCCCCTCCCTGATATTAAATACTATCAAAGACATTGTAAGAAAAGCAAAAACAATAAAAAGAATTTTTCTTTTTTTTTTCTGTGCCCAGGCCCTTGTGCATGCTACACAAGCTCTCTACCACTGAGCTGTACCCCAGCCCTCAAAATATTCTTTAAATTAGGCAAGAGATACTCAAGAAGAAAGAAATGCTATTGTTTTTTTCTGAGGAGACAGTCTTGGAGGGAGCCTGTCAAGGCCTGCCTTCTCAGGAGTTGATGCTTCTCCAAGATGGCTCCCCAGAAGGACTGAGGGGTTCTCCTGATCATAAAGGTTGTACCCATGGGTCAGAGACACCAAGGCATGAGGACCCGGGCTTCTCTAAGGAGAAGGAGCACATAGTCCTGCCCAGCTTGGTATAGAAGAACCGCGCCTCAGTGCAGCTACACTGCAAGGGGCATTTATTTCTAAGCCATGTTGTTAAGGTCCTTTGTTTTTGAGCAAGTTGAAGAAGCCCTATATAGAAAAATTTGCTGTCCCCTACTACGGATGGTGGTCTAGAGTTCTGTATAATCCCAGAGAGATCAGAAGCAGGCCCAGCTGGAACATTCTGGAAACCCCATCAACCCTGACTACTGTCTGTGTTCTTGAAAGTCAGCAACACTGTGACCTGAGAAGCTCACAGCACCTGAGAAAATGATCTGGGTGTTGTTGAAGAATGGGGTTCAGTGACTGTTTGTTTTCAAATTTTCTTCCAGCTTACAGATATTTCTTACTTTCTCTTTTATGCAGTGTTCAAGGGTGAATAAATGAGATTATGTGGGTATATTTAAGCAAAGCAGTATTTACATGAGACTACAGGAGCCTGTGACCATGGCAGTTCTGTGTCACTTACCTTGTTATGTGGGCCCCCTGACCTTGTTATGTGGACCTGCATTGGTCCGGTACAGCTGGAAGGAGGTAGCAAGGTAGAGTTCTTTTGTGGGGCATGGAGTCCATCACTACACTGTATCCAAAGCCATTTGCAGCCTCTGGGAAAGCGGGTTCTGCCCTGGACAGTGTACTTTAAAGGCCAGATAGAACCCTCAGGAGGAGAGAGGAGGTACTGTGGCCTCTGACTAAGGGGAGGAAACAGCAGGGAGCCAGGGAGGGAGGAAAGTGGTAACTGAGAACCTGGCTCCTGGGGATCCTGGCTCTGCTCTGAGCAGGCTGTTTGTTTGGGGGTCTTCAGAAATCATTCCTGCCCAAGACTTAAGCTTCGGGTGGCCCCTAAAGCCAGGGTTTTCTATTCTCAGTTACCAGCAGCTGCAGATGAGGCAGGGTTAGAGCTTTTCAAATTCTGTGTTATTTGTGCCTCATTCCTGCTGAAGAGATGGAGCAAACACTTTTAGAGACAATGTGGAAGTAACTGAATAGGTATGCACGGTAACTGTTGGCACATCTTTCTAATCAGCTAATATGGTTTCTGTGGACACCATTTTCAGTACTGTGAGAAAGTTACAGCCCCAATATGTGAGAATATGTTTGTACTTTGTGCTCTTTTGTTTCATGATAGTTTATAGCAATATTACTTTTATTTTTCAATACAATAGGTTAAAGGTTGTTGAAAATGAATTGATCCAGGCTTCAACAAAGAAATTTTCTCTGGAGAAGTTATATAAGGAACCCAGCATTTCTAGTATACAAATGGTGGAGTGTTGTAAGAGACTTCTAGAACAGTCACTGCCTTATCTTCATGGGATGCACCTCTGTGTTTCACATTTTTACTCTGTCATGCAAGATGGAGACGTTTGTATTCCTTGGAATTGGAAGAATGGGAAGGCATGAAGTAACATGGAAATCTGTTTTATTTTTAAAAAGATAAAAAACTGTTAAAGTTATTTAAATCCATAATTTTATATAACAGTATCATTTATATGTTATAAGAACAAAGTTTCTAACTGCTGCTTTAAAATATACATTTGGGAGCTTTTGGTGGGGCTCGAGTTTGAACTCAGGGCTTCATGCTTGCAAAGCAGGTACTCTGCTGCTTGAGCCACACTTCTAGTCCATATTACTCTGGTCATTTTGAAGATGAAGTCTCATGAACTATTTGCTTGGGCTGGCCTCAAGCCATGGTCCTCCCGATCGCCCCTCCCAAATAGGTAGGATTACAGGCATGAGCCAGTGGTGTCCAGCTAAAAGTAGACATTTTTTAAGTGAATTTCTGCTAGGAAACTTAAAAAGATTTTACCCCTCCCCCAGTCTTATGACAATACTGAGTAAAAAGGTATTATAGTGAAAGAACATATTTTTAGTAATACATAATAAAAGGATTCTGTAAGAGTCATATATTTTTATATGAGTGAATGTTGGTTTGGAGCTGGACAAGTTTGTGTATATAAACATAAACAGCTCTCATATACAGTATGGCTCTGAAGCATTCATTTCTACATATAACACAACTCAGCATGAGTCCTTATAAATTATATCTGGGGGGGTACACACACATGCACACACACACACACACACACTGAGTTTTGTAGCCAGCAACAGGCAATTGAGACCCAAAACAGATGACTAATGGGTAGCAAAAATTAGATAACCAAATTTTGCCTAAGAGAAAGAATAGAAGGAAGTTAAAAAGCAATAGACTATATGGTATTGACATTGTCCTAAGCAGTTTGATTCCAGCTTATTAAAACATCTTCAGTGACAGAGAATTCAAACCAATAACTCCCCTACCCAAGAAAAGATTGTAACCGCCAGGGCTGGGAGTATAACTAAGCAATGGACCACATGCTTGGGTACACAAGGTCCTGGGTTCCATCCCCAGCACCAAAAGAATAAAATAAATAAGCTAAAACACTGGAACTGGTGATATTATGAAACCAAGAGATAGGAAATGTTTTTAAATCACTTAATGAGGTTTTTATCTGTATCCAGGAAAATCCTTGTCTGCTTCCCAAACCACACGGGGAAGCAGCATCAAGTGTAAAATGTTCAGGTTTCTGTTCCCCCTCCACACACACACACACACACACACTTTCCAGTTCTTCCTGGGAAGCCCCCTGAGTCACCTCCCATTCTTAGAAATAAAACTTCACCTCAAATAGTTTATGGTGTCCTAGGCAAGGAAAGAAACCTGCTCTCCAAATTCTACATGTCTGTCTCTGCAGAGCCACTCCAGTTCCTTCACTGGAACCCAAAACCTCTCCGCTTGTTTCTCAAAGGGACAGGTGAATCCTGCTTTGAGACACCGGCACCATCTCTTTGGCTCCCACATTGAAATCAGAAAGCAATTTTTCCCATAGTGCACTAGAAGTAAAAGAGATGCTAAAACTGGTCCTTGAAATACACTTTGAATTTATGTAAAACATCAGTTATTTAAATAGTTTGAATGCAAATGTGTGTTCAAAAAGAAGTATTGACTTGTAGTTTTTATAGTTTGTACGTATCCTTCCTTTTAACCTGTGCCTCAACAACTCAGCTTAAATTCCGTGTTGCAAGTGGTTGTTGCCTGTAAAGATTTTCCAGAGCCAAATAACAGGACTGAAAAGTCCCTCAAGGATTACGTGACAAAGTGTATAGGAAGCTTAGGCTGGATTGTACCATTTCTAAAACTCTTTATTAATAGGATGCTCAGTGATGTGTTTTGAATTGGATTTTGTCTCAGAACTGTTACATAATAAAAATACATCAACCAGATAACTGTCTTCTTGTTTTTCACTTAGTAGTTTCACAGCCATTGCAGTGTAACAGGAAATAAGAAATTGGTGCTCATGTATGCCTGTTTGACTGTGTATCCCAATCTAACATAAAAAGGATAAATTCTGTCCCGCTGCTGAACACTGGCACTGGACCAGGCCCTTCTAGTTATGTTTCCAAGAAGCCTCCCGTGAGAAATCTCTAGAGGGAACTGAGTGGCCCCAAGTCACAGCTGGGCTGCCTCAGGGAAGAACCAGGACCTGAATTTGCATGGGGCTTGTACCCCTCTGCCCAGTCTGTCTGGTCAGGAAAGCATCTGTCCCTACAACTGCACTCTCCAACTCTACCTCCAGGCAGCCTCCCCAACTTAATAAGAGCCTGCTGAGCTTTGAGGAGTGAGCCTGCAGGAGACAGAAGGGACCAGGGAGGGCCAGCTCACCTTAGGAATCTAAAGACCAAGGTCTCAAGTGAACCCCTCCAGCTCAGATCACTGTGCCAGCATCCTGGTACTTCCCTTCTGTTACAGTAAACAAAAAGAAGCCACATTAGGATTGGACTCCCCAGTCCTTGCAGGCAGCTTACTGACACCCCACCACCCACTGAAAGGACCACATGTAGCCTCCAGGAAATGACAAGCCACCACCTTGCCAGGGGGTCCAGAGCTGAGCAACTTAGCTATCTAGTTACCACTTACCTCCTCCAGCTTCTCTGCAACTTATCTGCCTAGTTAAGCTTCCTCTAGCAATGGTTGACTCCACTCCAGAAGAATTTTCCCACCCAGTAGGGTTTCCCCTCCAGACTGCTCCCCTATATCTACTCCAAGTCTGTAAGCGGCTGGAGGCTCCAGCTCACTTGCTGGGGTCCCAGTCTGCAGGGCTCCTTCCCGAACAATAAACCCCGTGCTGCCGTTTGAACTGTCTCTCTGCCTCCTCCATGCCTCTTACTCTAACACCTTCCCCTTCATAACTGCAACCCCTCCCAACCCCCACGCCAAGCTGCCCTGGAGGATCCTGTCCAGCTTTCTCTTCAGCAAACCAGTAAGATGAAAGCAGTGCATGGAGATTGATGGGCCCTAAGACTCCAGGCAGGAGCCTTGATCCTGGGGCAGGGAACCCTGATCCTGGCAGCTTCCCAGTCACAGGTCAGGGTACAGGAGCCACAGATCCATCAGGTGAGGCCTGGCTGCTGGCTGAACACCAAGTGCTTGCCATAGGTCCAGACTACTTGACATGACAGGGACCACAGAGCCCACCCAACCTAGAGTCCTCTGATGTGACAGGGTCACCACAAGTCACCAACCCATGGATAAGAATTGGACTCCTCATGTCAAGTGGCCTTGGGCACAGCCTGCACCTCACTTAATCTCAGTCTTCCACCTATAAAAGGAAACACCTGAGCGGGTTCTTGGAGGTTCTTCCCACTCTGAGTGAGTCTGTCCCACGAAGCCACAGTCCTCCTGGGGTGGTTCTTGGCTACCTGCTCAGGCACCTCTCCCTCCTTAGCAGTTGGGCAAGGACAAAGAGGAGGAGGGGAGTTCCACTGTCTCAAGCAGATGAGATTGGGTTGGTGCTGTGACATCCTCTTCCTCCCCCCACATCCCAGTTTCACTATGTACCAGTCCACAGGTCCCTCAAAACCCTCCCCTTGTGGGGACTTGCTGCTATGGAGCATTATAGGCATTTTACCCCTAAGCTGACAGATGTTGCATACAGAGAAACTGAGGCCCAAAATAGGGGGAAAACTTGTCCAACCAAGACCGTCTGACTGCTGCAGGCAGAGTGGTGGGATTAGAACACAGGTGTCCCAGGACCTGTAGGGGATGTGTACAGGATGAGCGCTCCAACTCCAGGCAAGCCCTCCACCAGCCTGTCCCATCTGGAGCCTATGAGCCTGGCTCCCACAAGCTCTGAGTGAATCCTGCCAGTGCCCTTGGCCTTCAGCCTCCCTCAGCCATGCTCCCCTGGTTGCCTCATTCCGCACTGCTCAAGCCAGGAGACGGGGCATACTGGGACCACACAGGCACCTACAAACATCATTTGCACACATCTGACCCAAGTGCCTGTTCAGTGGCTCATTGGTGACAACGGGCTCAGCATAGGATGTGACCAGAGCTGGGGGGGCTGTCAGACTTTCACCATCATAATCCTCAAGAGGTGGACGGTTCTCTATTTTCGCATTTGTCCCTACCCCTCACTTTCTGCAGGCATGAGCCAGAGACTTCTAGGTCAACAGGACAAATAGGCCTCAGGAAGGACAGTGTGACCAGTGTAGATGCACAGCCCCTGGTACCTCACTTGTATTTGCATCCCAAAATGCAAGACATTTAAACTTTGAGGTAAAATCCTTGAGCCTTTCCTTTCTTCTTGGTCTCCCAATAAACACCGAGAGCCCCTAGCATGTGCTGGCCCTATCCTAGGTGCTGGGGACCTGCAGGGACAGAGGGGAAGATGCTGCCATGAGGAGCCAGCATCATGGCCTGAGCCTCACTTCACCTTCCCTTGATGTACTGGTTTCCCGTGGGTGAGGTAAATTACAAACTGGGTGACCTAAAAGCAACAGAAATGCATTCTCTCACAGGCCTGGAAGCAAGAAGTCTGAAATTAGTTGTTCACGGGGCTTCCTTTGCCCCAGGGGTTCTGGGTGAGCCCTTTCTTCGCCTCTCAGCTTTGGGTGGCTGTCAGCATTCGTTGACTTCTGGCCACATCACCCTGCCTCTGTTATGTCACCTCCTTCTCTTCTGTGTCCTCTGTATAGCTGTCAAAACTCTCTCGGTCCTTTCTTATAATCACACGTGTAGGGCCCACCAGATAATGCAGGAATCTCTTCACAAGAGCCTTCGCTTTGCCATCTAATCATAAACTTTGCCATGTTAGGTAATGTTCACAGCTTCCAGGCATTAGGACTTGAATGTGTCATTTAGGGGGCCCTCATTCAAGCCACTACTGTTGCTGACTTGAGACCAACATTACAAATTCTGCCTCGTTCTGCCCTTGAATGACTCTGCAGCGAGAACCCACCAGCTGTGGGCACCAGGCTAAGCCCACCTGATTCCAACCTGAGCATTATTCCATGCTCACGCAACATCCCCAGAGTTCTAGTCTGCCATGTGTTCCGGCCTCTACTTAGTTCCAGTCAGCCACCTGTGTCATTCTATTCTAAGACGTGTAACTTCTCTTCTTGCCTTGGCTGCTGGGTTCCAGGACAGAGCCCGGGTACAAGCCCTGTGTGCCAGTTATCCGTTCATCACAGCTGGGCTCTACCTTCTGTACACGCAGCTCACCTTCAAGTCAGTGCCAAGCTTTCTCAGTAGGGGGGCGCTGGACAGGGGTCACCGACCAAGTGAGT